TTTTACGGTTTATGTTTTCTACAAGAAATATTGCTTCAATCCTAAAACGGCAAAATACCTTGAAAGTCGTTAATTGAATTTAAGTTTAGTTTTCTTAATAATTAAGCAAAACTTAAAAAACGTGGATAAAACAGGAATGTTTACGAAAACTATAATTTTCATATTTTTATTGTAATTCAATTAAAAATATTTTTAGCGACTTGAGAATTTTGAAATAAACTTATATTTGTCTTTTCTAAATACGGTAAAATATTCAAAACATTTTTGCAACTTTTGAGCTATTTATAGATATTTTATATTTGTGAGTGTTTTTATTAGGTTTATTTGAAGTATTTTTATTTTACTACTATGTAAATATCACTTTTTGACCAAACAGAAATTCTTTTATATGTTAAACTTAAAAAAAAAGTAGATTTTTTTATAATGGTTTTAATTCTAAATTTTAATGAAAACCCTAAATATTTTCAAATTATGTACAAAAAAATTTCGTTCAGAATTGTTTTCCGTTGGCAATAATTTATCTTTGCTCTTTGATAAATATCTTCAAAGATATTAATCAAATAAATGTATGTATTCTTCCTTCCCAATTTCAAATCTCCAATAGTGGCGCACCTATTAACAGTATCAGCTCTTTTTTTTTCATGTTGTTTAATCTTATAGTATTTCTTATTTTTTCCAATTCACTCACTAATCAATAGTTAATTTAAAAAATACGAATTATCTATTTTTTTTTGGCTTTGCTCGTGTTCTTAATGTAATGTGATAATAATCGTTGAGCGAACTTTTTAAAAATTTATATAAAAACCAACATTAATTTTATTAAGGTTTATCGACTAAAAATGAATTTAAAAAAAAATATCGCTTCCATGTACAAAAATAACGGGGTAAAAAAGAGGAGCAAAAAGTAATTTAAAAACTCATGAATTACTGGCCATAGTTTCAAAGTAAAGTAACTTAATTACATAAAAATTTCAGCTAGTTGAAGAGTAATGTTATTAAATGTTTAAAGAATAATGAGTAATTATAATATTATTACTTTTGAAAAGTAATTTTCCCAAGACCGAATATTTTTATGATTGTTTTCGTTAACGTTTTTAAAGTAAAACGAATAAGCACTTACTTATTCAAGTGTATAAAATGTGGTTTAAAACGATTTTTTTTTTTTTTTGAACGCGGTAGAATAATATATTGTTGTTATTTTCTTAGTAATGTATGCCAGCCCGTAATCGAGAAGCAAAAGGGTCCGGGGGAAAACAATGGCGGAATTATTACCTTGCTATAATACGAAATACGAAATCCGATCTCGGGTCAGTAAAGGTACCTACCCCCAGACATTTCGGCGATACGATAATTAATATTTTAGAGGAATTATATACTTACTCGAGTTTGGTATAATCGTGTAGATTCCTATTTGCAAAGCTATCTTGGGTCCATAATATTATTTCAAAGTTGTCACTTTGACCTCGTAAGTTATTCGTTTCGCCTTTATTTATTTTACGTTTTTTAATTGACACGGTAATGGCGCGGCGTGTCAGATATAACGATACACATTTTCTGTTTGTTTTATTTGTTTTTTTTTTTTTCCAATCACAAAAATAATTTTCTGTTATATTACTATCATTTGTTTTATGAAATATAAAACGAATCGATTCGTCATGAATTTAAATAGAATTTAGTTTTGCTTATCGACTATTGATTGTTTCAGTAATTTTATTTCGTACCGTCCGCGTCGTCGACATTTGCGATTTCAATTTATTGTTTAGTTTTTTTCGTTTTCTTCTTTTGTTGTGCTCGTGAAAAGAAAAAAAAACCCGTATTAATATCTTATCGTCGATCTTACCGCGCCAAACTGTCTGCGCGGTGTGACTGTATTCCGATTTCCGGTCTCGCCGCGTGGAGAGGGAAAAGGTATTGGCTCGGTTATCTCCTAAAGTAAATCTGCACCGAACGAAATGAAGAGATGGGGTTTTTTTTTTTTTTTTATTCCCTTTCGATTTTTTAACATAACTCGATATGAGATAATGAAGCTGTTTACATTCGACGTGTCGACCGGGTCGGTGTTTATTTTCCATTATTCGAATGTCACGGTGTGCATATCGTCAAGCGTCCGGGAATATCGAATTTCCCGGTGAGCCTATACGTTTGATTCGGAGCTTAGGGCGTACCCGCACGACAATTTCGGGTAAGTCGAGGCTGTATACGAAGCACACGAAAGACAATGAAAATTCTAAAAAGTTTAAAATTATTAGCAAATACTGTTTTCCTCGAATTATTAAATTTAACCGGTCCAATATGTGTTGGATCGCAGTACCGCTTGGTATACAATATTCAACCTGGGAATTACCCTATTTGTGTACCAATACTGGAAATCAGACGATCAAATTATCAAACTATAAAACTAGTTCTACAAATTAACCATCAGCAGTAGTTTGTTGTTTCTCAAACCCGAGCCCGCAACCGGGCCAATGAATAATCCACTTAGAAATTGTCCTAAATGCACTATGATAATAATAAAATCAAAAGAACATCGTCATCGTTGTTAAAAAAAACTGGTGGCCGAATATGTTTAGAATTATCATAATTTTTTTTATATATATTTTTCAGCAGGTCACGTACTACACCTAAACACTTTGATGGCAGGTCGATTTTAGCGGTAGGTCACCCTATTGGACCGGTCCCAATTTCATAGTTTATTTTTAAGAGTGGTATACCGAAAATACCTTTAGCCCGATAACGCGTAAGTATGACGGCGAGACGGAAAACCGGGGGCCGTTTCTACATAGCTCAAACTTTCTCCCTGCAATTTCATTATTCAAATGCCTAAAAAAAAAAAAAACTCCTTAACGTATGGCAGCTACATACGACCGCGTAAGGCAATAATAATAATAGAAGAAAAAAAGTAAAAAGATGACTGCGTAATACGAATAATGACCTTGAGTTCAAGAGGAATTTATACATTTGTCGAGCTAATATCATATTATGCATTGTTACTGTTTTTGAAGAATCGTAAAAAGGCTGCAGTAGTAGTGCGTGCGCGACCCGTAAATACGTACATCGAGTCAAATTCCATTTATGTGTTTCATTGTAAAAATAAAAAAAAAAAGAAACGTGCGGTTTGTAGATATATACAAATACTTAGATAAGTACATGAAAGCGAATAAAAAAAAAAAAAAAATCTATAATATATTATATTGAACAAAATATCGTTTGTTTCGAAAATATAGGTATTATTTTTTTTTTTTCAATTTGAAAATTCCATAATGTCCTCGCAAATCAAATAACCGCATAACTGATGGGCCACTTGTGTCGTTTTTCTACTCGTAAGTAATCAATCATTCGGATTGCCAGCTGTATACCTGCAACGCGGCGTAGGTGTACCTACGTAAATACGTCACAGTATATACAACGGTGATAATAATAATACAAGTGTTTTCGATCGACTAACGGGAGCCACTATCTTAACGATGATGACTGTCTCGGTTTTTATATTCATTAATGGTCCGGTGTATCCGTCGATAGGTATATCGCGACATCAATCCGTTTAGGCGCTGCTGCGTGATAGACGATCGTTTTTAATTTTCTGAAACGTAATCGTTATATTTTATGTTTGGTTTTGTTTTTTTCTTGGAAATCACTTTTTCAATTAGTAAAAACGCTCTGGGCTTTGTTTTCACGTCTCATATTTAAAAGATGCGGATATCTATTGAATTGGCGGTACTTTATTTGAACAGTATTTCGTTCTTATAATGCACACAACTCTTTTAAAAAATATGTTTAAAAAAACTGATCACAAAATACGACTAAGTATCGCGGTTTTATTTTTTCCGATTTCTGGGTAACCTTGGCTATGGAGGGACAAAAAAAACCTATAACTTTACTTTAAGGTTTTTTCAGATTAAGAGCGATGATGGTGTATTTTTATGTCTGATGTAAACAAATTTTTACGAGTACAGAAATCTTGCTCCGTTAAAAAAAACATTTATGAGTAATTTTGTGCAGAATTTCTGGTCTAGTTAGTGAATAATGATGTCATTGTTTTTTTCTAATAGGTTGTTTTTTAATGAACGAGAAAAACAGAAATTTTTCATCCAATTTTTTGTTAGATTCTGTATTGCAATGTCAACAAGGAAAAATGTATCGTTGAGAATGAATATAAGATTAATTACTCTATATATCCTCCAATTTTCTTTCTAAAATAGTGGCACGCCTCCATCAGCGGTATCAGCCATTTTTTTTCGGACCGATAAATCATCGGTTATCATAAAATTGGTACATTAACATCATTATCAACAAAATACACAATGAAAACGCTAAAAAAACAAAACAGAATCAATAACATTATTAAAATCATATTATGGTGGCGTTATAATTATTTTCATTAATCTTGCGTATTCAAACAAGGGTGGCGTATATACGTACGCCTACCTACGTCTTCTAAATTATGCAATATTTTGAACTCGGTATTGTTTGTGGAATCTGTTTCTATGTCATCATCAATCAAACGGCATTTGTTTCCCTGCAACAGTGCACGTCAAGGTATATTTTAGTGCAAGAGTAGTAAAGTTATTAATCAGATTTCTTCCCCCGTTTCCTAGTACGACCGACAAAAGCCTTTTCTTAAGCCGAGCTACATTCAACCCTTACGCGTGTTCAACTCGAATTATTATGCGGTGGACAGAAAAAAAAAAACGCAACGCAATAAAATATTTATAAGTACGATGATACACATCACTGTAACAATACGTTGCCGGAATACGAATAGTTTCGCGAATATTCCACAGATGTTATTATTTTTACTTTTGTAAACACTGTTGTATGCGTTTACCTATACCAAAAAATATAGAATTTATTTAAATATGATCCGACGCGTGCATACAGATAAATAAACAATAAACAAGTACAATATGTTTTTATACGTGATGTGTCAAAATATGCGATACAAATACGTCTATGTAAATATTATTGGCGCTGTCGCTGCGGGGAATATATAAAACCGTATACTCCCACTGATTTCTTTTCAGCTGTTCGTCGACACAAGGTAATGCGGTGGCATTGTCGGAAGAAACTGCCGAAAGATTTGAAAATTAACGAAAATTATTAACGACAGACATACATGATCACTACAGATGAGGCCGGAAGACGATCTGAAGTCGTTACAGGTGCAAGAACTTATCCGGTTATTAATCACGCCATCCTTCGTCTTCTGGCAGGATAACTCCAACACCGTGACCTCTTTCTGGTTATAATTATGGCCGACGAAGACGTCCTGTTAACGATTTAAGAATTGCAAAAGACACAGTTGCAGAACTGGAATCGAATGTAATAACCTCATTAATAATCGCATTCTTATCACAACCTAAATAAATCCTAACTATCGCCAAATCGATAAATAACGGAGTTTTATGAAATGTTATTAATTTTATTATTAAAAATAAATAGACTGTTTCCTTTCCATAAAAACTTGTGAAAAAAGCATTCATTTCAATTTCATTTAACTTTAAAATCTCCCCCCAAAAAAAAAAAAGAAAAATTTTACACAAAGTAAATTAAATTAAAAATTATTATTTAGATTTATTTTTGCTTATTTAAATATATATTAATAAAACCAATTTAGTATTTTTTTTTTTTTTTTTTAATTAAAAGTTCTTTTAATAAATGCAAAAGGTATGCATAATTTATATATATATATTTTTCTAACCGCCCATATTACTTCAATCTGAATAAAAGGGTATATTGTCTGAATGAAATCGTTTAACTCTAAAAGACAAACACTAAACGGTTTAAAATGTCAAATAAATATTTTGAAACGATCAGTTTTTATATCGGTATAGTCAATGATATTTAAGTTTGAAAACAAAAACATATTCGAAATAGGTATATACATAAGTATATTGATTTTACTGTATCTGGCATATTGTATTAATAAAGGCAGGTATCTACTGCAATTGTATTAAACGTTTTTAATATTAATTCCAACAAAAATCACGTCTTTTTTAGACTTTTATGTCAAAATATTATTCAGTATCGTTCAGATAACCTACTACAGTCTATGGGGGTTATCCTCGTGATAAAACTAATTTGATATATGCCAACATTTTAAAACGAAAATTAGGTGTTATTAGATATCCGTGGAATTCCGCGTGACTTAATCCAAATTAACGATGGACTGATGCTGCGCGTGAGTATAGGGTTATATATAATATGTGGTTGGAGTGTACAAATTCCAGCTACAGCATTGAACCAATTGAAGTATACATACGCAGACTCAGCTGCTAGCGCACGATATTAATTTTATCATGTAAGGTTTCATAATGTTTTATTAGTCTATAAATAGCATGAATAAATCTGTTTACGAGATAATAGACATTGGTATTAAAAGTGGAATGAGTTTTAGTGATAAAATGTGTAGCAGATATTTTTTATTAATTCAATTTTTTAGGGTGAACCACATAAATTCAAAGTACGTAAAGTTTGCATGTCGAATTTATCCGGTCAGCTCCAAAATAATGATTATTATTTCGGAGCCGATGGGACAAATTCGGAACGCCAATCTGTTTTCACGTACCCTTACATATTAAAACGACTTTTGAATTATTCGTAAGGTGAGGTTGCATAATGTAAATATTTGGAGGGAACTGTCGCCCGCCAATTATAAATAAGACACTCTTTTCATTGATACATATTTACGTGAAAGTTACGGGGTGAAAAAATAAAACGTGATTTTAAATCTTGTAATGCCGTATATACCCGTGCGATATTATATTATCAAGTACCTACCCACCTACGCTATCTATAGGTATGACAAGAGGTATCGCCGAATGAAAATCTAAATCCTTTCAAGTATGCTACATGCGCTGAATTTTAAAATCAAAGGCATACTCGTCGTCGTATTCCCCCCACGATCATGATGTAGTGCACGCGAAAGGTTTTGCAAAATGAACGGGGAAAAAAAAAAAAAAACGTGTATGTAAGTTTATATATTTTCGAATTCTCCTATATTTAATATTATATTCAAACGATAAATTGCGTTATTTATTGTAATATTTATAATATAGAAGCAGGCGACGTTTTCAACATGCAGACCGGAATTTCGGGAGACCAGGGACGTTAAAAAGGTACGAGACATTTGTTTTTGTATTTTTTTTTTTTAACATGGACCACATTTTATAGCAACAGGCCCACATCATATACGTCATATAGTTAGATAATAATATTACATTGATAATCAAAATTATATAATTGAGACTATATTTCCATTTTTTTATTATTACTGATGTTATCCATCCGAAGTAAGGCTCACGATTTCTTATGAGTATATAAAGTACACGGGTACACACATATTTAAAACCCGTGAATTAAACCGTGTAAACACAAATACAGATATATATATATATAATAATATACGAGTGTTTATTGATACACTTGTATTTAATAATGCACTCAGGGAAGAACCCCCCAGGCATATTATTTTTTAAATT